TGGATCAGCCAATTGGCTGCTGGTTTACAGACGATCTGTTTGCGAAAGAGAAGCTCTTACTTGCCTTGAACTTTGTCAGAGATTAATCCCTGTTTAGGATCACTTCAAACACTTTGCAACTTCTTCTCAGAAATTTATGTGATACATTAGAACTTGTGTAGCCCATTTATCTCTGTGTCAATACAAAATCTTGGATTTTTTTACTTATGCCTGCTAAATATAATTAAAATTATAATATCTTCCCAGAGGAAGTAGAGAAATTGTTGATTTTATCAAAGGCCATGCTGGAACTTACTTAGCAGGTAGCCCACAGAATTTTTAGAGGAGTTGGAAGATAACACTGTCTTTACTTCCTCTAAAGGAAACAAAAGGCTTGCACATCAGGAAAGCACATGCGGCATTCAACAACCTGTGGTCTATGTCCCAGTGACTACCTTCCCTGCTAAATAAACAAGAATTAGGTATTTCTTTTTTGTATGGGTAAGAAAAAGCAGTATTTAAAATAATCAAAGTCTGCATTATAAAAAATATTCTTCATCTAAGACATCTGTGAGAAAAAAATCCTGGCCCATCCCTTCCCAAAAAGATACTGTAGTGCTGCTCCTGTGCAGTATGGGAGGGTATAAACTGCAGTAACTAATCTGTTAGATAAAACTGAGTTGCATAAAATGAATTGAAATAGACTGGAGATATGCAGTAGAGAATTGTTTTTCTATTTGGAAATCAGTTTATGGCTTGCAGAGCTGAGACACCAACCATTAATTTGTTAATGCTGGACACTGTCAGAGGCAAGATCATGAGAGAAGGTCACATCTCAGCAAGTCTCTGCTGTACCTGAGCTCTCACCTATGGCAGCATTCAGGGTAAAGCCTCACAGACCTAATCTTCAAAATATCAGAGAATCAGAATAAGATTAAATTTCTTAATTTCCTCATTTATGAGTGGTATTTAATATCTGAAAATTGAGGTAGTTAATCCACACCCATCTTTAAAACATCTGCTTTAATTTTTTGGGAAAATGAAGACTAAATATTTCCTTTTCAAAGCGTTTAATAGAGTTCTAGACTTTTTATTTGATCTACTTGCTTGGAGAAGTTGCTGATTATTTTTGTGATTATTCTGCTTTATTCCTGTTTGAGAAGGACTGTGAATTAAAAAAGAAAATTAAGTAGGAGGAAAACCCTCCAGAAAATCTCTTTATTCAGAGTTATGACTCCTTACATGTAGCTGCTGATAACAGATCCAGCTATCTCAGCCTAGAGGTAGCTTTCGATATGACAGCTCTAAGAATATAAAATATTTTGCTTAATCATAAATCATATGTTCTTTTGATTCCAAGTATTTACAAAGGAACAAAGAAATGAAATGAATAAGCAAATTTCAAAATGACAAGTCAATTTGCTTTTATTGAAAAAATACTCAAAAGCAAACAAATGTTTCTTTTTGTTGTTGTTCTTTTTTTCTGGCACTCAATCATGCATATTTTTAAGAAAACAAAATGAATTTAGAAACTTCTTTGTTTCTCTCACTCTATATCAGTTCTGTTTGTTCTAGTTCAAGTCATACCCTGAACAGTGAGATATTGAAATTTCACAAAAAACTGTTACTAAGTTTTCATTTACACTCTGTGATGCAGATAAAATTCTGGATCTTCTCAGTCTTTCCACCTGATCATATATTAGATATGAGATTTTATTTTAATGTAGAACAAATACTCTCTTATAAATCATCCCGTGAAGTTTCATCCAGATCTCATATCAAAAACTATGTCTGTATTTTTTTCGCTCTGCTTATCGTTGTGCAACAAGAAGCTTCGGCAGTGTTGGGTGCCTTGAAAAGCATTTCTGAGGTCAGAGTACCCATATGTCCCCTTTTGCTGTTTTTCTATATGTAGAGGTTACTAGGTACAGATCTCCACATTCTAGGTAGCTTGTCTTAAAACCCGGTCTTGAACATCAGCATTATTACAAATGAGCCAGTTGTTTTGGGTACCACAGTCACAGGACTATGCTCCTGGCATTTTTAAGATTGCTACATTTTGGAATTTTAGGACATTCTTGAATGACCATCATTTAATGACCCCACAGTTGCTGTTTAATGAGACAAGAATAACTGTATGAAAGAATTTGTGCTTAATTAAGTCTACATGCCCTCAAATAAATCCCTTACAGATGACTTCAGATGCTTGGTAACTTTATGATAAACCTGGAGCCCTGTTTCAGAATAATGAGAGAGCATGCTCTGCACAAGCTGCTGATAATGAGATACTAAAACCATTACATTCTCTCAGAAACATGTGCAAGAAACAGGAACCTAGTTAAAATAGTAACCATTGCCTATTTCAATTAGCGTTTTCTTCTTAGTGTTGTTATGCTGATCACTGCATTACAAAAGAGGGATCACCAAACCATGCTGGAATTTATCAGAGTACACAAAGCAATTTACTAATAGAATTCGAACTCTGGAAGGAAGAGCGCACAGCTCCAAAATGAGACCAAATTAGCTTGGATTTGCTATTGTAGTCAGATTGTTGCTGCTGCTCAGATTTATTTGCTTCTCACTAGTATAGACATGCCAGTGTTGTGTTTTTTACAGCAGAAATAATGAACATAAACGTCTCAGTACTAAAGTACTTTCATGATTAAACAGGAAGGGTAAGCAGCTACTTGTATTTGTGTAGAAGCCTGAAAGTACATTTTCTTGCCTCATCTGTATCTCAGAAATGAAAGAATGTGGCTCTAAGATTATTAATTCACTGTACTCTGTGATGCAATAAGGCTTTGTCAGCACTTAACTTCTACAGTTTACTCTGGAAAAAATCTGAGTGGTTAAAATTGCTTTCACTGTAGTTAAGTCTCACCATCTCAGATGAACTGAAATTAAACTCAGATTGTTCAGAAAGCAATACCTTTACTCTCAAACATACCCAAAAAATTAAGTTAAAATTCAGTCCTAAGCAACCCATTTTGTTGTATTTGTCTTTTTACTCTGTTTTTCAACTCTCCACAAAATATAATTCAAGAAACCAAAGCTGTTTTTCAGATATTTGAAACCTTGACACTTGTTTGTTTGTTTTTTTTTTGATAACTCCTAAATTTGTGGAATGACCTCAAGATTAGCTCAGTTGGCTGGAGCATGGTGCTAATAACATCAAGGTTTGATCCCTGTATAGGCCATTTATTTAAAGACTTGATGATCCTTACGGGTCCCTTCCGACAGAATATTTTGTGATTCTGCAAACTGAAGAGGACTAGAAACTTGTTGGTAACAAAAAGTCCTAAACTTTCTGTCTTTTAAAAATATGTGTGACTAAGTCCATTAGCATTCAGTTAATCTTTCACTAGGTAAAAAAATCAGGATACAGTCCTTTCACTGAATTTCATGAAATTAATATAACTAGAAAAATTACCGTGCTAATAAAGAAGTACATTTTTACATTTCCTATTTCCCGGAGAATTCTTCTAAATTACCTGACAAATTGTGTATATTTAAAGTAACTTTTCACTTGAATCAAATGAAAAATTATCCAAAGTATGGGATGTCAAGAAAAGTGGAGAAATGGCCAAATAAAATTTCGGAACAATAGTTTTTATTAATTTTCTTATTCTACATACTGGATATCAAAGCCTAACATTACTATCTGGAATGAAAAAAAAATCCTCATAACATCATAAATTTTTGGTGGATCTGAGATAATTTGTATCTTTCTTTTTGCCTTGCTTATATTTTGCCTAATTTCTTTTTGGTAGATAAGTGAACTCTAGGTAATTGCATTTTTTTATGTTCCTACCACACATACTATGACCACCATTTATAGGGTTGCTGTTTTTTTGGTTTTCGTTTTGCTTTGGAATGTTTTTGAGGGGCTATAAAGGATACATTTTCCTATCTAATGCATACAAGCTATATTTTTTTCATTCTTTGCATTCATGCTTTGTATGTTGTTGTTTCATATTAAATTTATATGATTATTAATACTTATATATTTATAGACATTTTAGGTGTCTTAGATGTTCCACTGAGCCACATAATTTGCTGAATCATAATCTTACTTATCTCTCCATTTATTTTACAGCTCTTTTAGAGAACTTAAGTCATAAATCTGTGTGAAATCCTGTTAGACATTCCGCAACAGATGACTGCTTCTCCATCTGTAATAAACACGTTTAATATTTGCATCCATTTTACAGGATATAACTCCTATTAGAGTATGATTTAGTTCCAAGTCAGATTCTAACAAATGTCTATTAGGTTTACGTATTATGTATATTTTTGGCAGCCCAGTTTATAGTATTAAGTTTTACAAGGACTTATTGATCTAAAATGATCTGGACTGGCAGTATGTACTACTTGACTCCCACATAATCTTCCTCCCTTGATTTATCTGGTATCGGTGTCAGTCTAACAGGATTCTACACTACTGGAATGCAGAAAAGAGATGATCCTACATTTTCACAGCTGAAAGATAATAAGTCTGACTTTTTCCAGGGCCAACACGCTCTGAGGTCCTGCATTTAACGATTACTTGATATGAACAAGAAAGACTGGTAAAATAGCTTGGAATTACCTTTAATTTTCTTTATTATAAACCAGTTTGCCATCAGTGACACTGACAACAATTGAAATTAAAATAAGCACAAATTTAATAATTCATTAAATATACACAATTCTATGCTTTCTTTGAAAAAGCTATACTTCTTGAAAAAGAAGGGGATACTATTGTAACTTAACACTGAACAAATAATATACAGATCAGTGGCTGAAACCAGTGACTGAGGTTTGCAATGGAGTGTATATATGCACTACCAAGGCACTGAATCTCTATTTAATTATAAAGAGTAACATAGACTCATTCACAAGCATTGATTAAATGCTCCTGTGTTTAATTTTTCTCATTATTTAGAAATATATTTCCTGGTTTCCAGGGTAGTCAATATACAAACCCAGGGCCCCTGTTTATTTTCTGTCCTCTGACTTCTTCCTCATACCTTTCCTGCCAGGGATGCTAGACTCTGTTGGGCAATTCAGTGTTGAGATGAGTCAGCCTCAAATCATTTACACGGGTGGATGCTGAAGATTAAAATTTATGGATCTGCAGCTTATTACTGGTAAGTATACCTTTATTGAGGAGCCAGGTTATGTTAAATCCCAGGTAGAGCTCCTGCTAACCAATTTTTCCCAGTACAATCCTGCATAGTAATTACTGAAAAGTATGTGGTATTTTTCTTCGTGATTCTTATGGCTTAAGTAATTTCTTTCTGATCACTAACTTTTAGACTGTTTGCATGGGGAGAAAGTGCATACAGTTTATTATTATCTATGGCATGACTGTGTGGAATCATTCGTAGCCAGAAAAGCAGAGACTGAAGTAAACACATAGAGCTGTATTATGTAATGTATCAGTGCACAAAAGTGTAAAAAGCCAGAATGATGGCAGCTTCTCTTCATGTTTATAAATCTTAGCAATTCCATCATTTACTAATCTTTCTGAAAGTCTTTTCTTATTTAATAAATACTTTGATATTCTGTATCCTGGCAGTCAAATGGATGATATCGAGGATGCAAAGGATTTGTGCAGTTACTTACAGCTGAGAAATGCAACATTTCTAAATGGGAATGGTTTCAGCAAAACAATTTTTTTCAAGTAGAAATAACATTTTCCAAGGAGATAGAATAGTGGAATGTGCCACTGGCAAATCAGGGGATACTTGCACATTTTAAAAAGTGTGAAACCCCTGGAAAATTTGTGTAATTTCAGACTGTGTTTATTCTTTGTCTCTCAAGAACTTGCAAAAGTATTTTGCTTTGTTTCCTGTGAGATCAAAGATTTTATAAAGAAGTGAGAAGTGCACAGATTTGCTGCTGCCCACGTCCAATGGACAGTGAGATAACCGAAAAAGAGGGAGGAAAAGGCAGGGAAGACAGAATTCTATAATCTTCCTAATCCTTTGCCTTGGGAGACAGCAAAAGAAAGAGCTTTCTCCACCAGCTTTAGGATGATGTCTCTTGATGCACAGAGGGTAGTGGGAAGATAGGCCTTTCAGATGTGCTTTCTTCCAGAGATGTGTCTTCCTGAGATTCCTGAGACATACACCAAGAAGAATGCTGCATTAAGCTTTCTGTTAGGTCTCAGAAGCTTCCTAGAATATGGGTAGTCATGTTTGGGAGGCCTAGAAATATTCCTCCACACATTTGAGTTTGCTGGGATAGACATAGAGAAGAGAAGGCTTAGAGGTGACCTCATCACTCTCTTCAACTACCTGAAGGGAAATTATAGCCAGGTGGGGGTTGGTCTCTTCTCCCAGGCAACCAACAACAGGACAAGGGGACATGGGCTCAAGCTCTGCCAGGGGAAGTTTAGGTTAGATGTTAGGAAGAAATTCTTTACAGAGAGGGTGATCAGGCATTGGAACGGCCTGCCCAGAGAGGTGGTGGATTCACCATCCCTGGAAGTTTTTAAAAAGAGATTGGACATGGCCCTTAGTGCCATGATATAGTAATTAGAGTTGGATCAGGGGTTGGACTTGATGATCTTGGAGGTCTTTTCCAACCCAATCTATTCTATGATTCTGTGATTCTATGAGAGTTTGAGAAATGCTGCTGAGATTGTAAACACAACTCTGTTCTAACTATACCTAAGCAGATGCAATGTGGCATAAAACAATTAGAAGGAATCATATTTAAAAAGGAAATGGTTAACCAATGCATGAAAACATTACCCCAAGTATTTTTTTTTTTTTTTTAATAAATAGTAGAAGATTTGGGGATTGTCTGAACTTTTTTGTTTTGTCTGTTTCTTTGGCAATTCAAAAGGTGACTCTTATAGGCATGTGGGGGTATATTTCAGGCGTGAGGACCAAAGTGTCATCAAAATGACCTCAGTGTCATTTTAGATTAGATCCTAAAATCAAATTTTCATTTTATAACTTTGAGTTATCTCCCTGACTTTCAGTTAGACAACTTCTTTTAAGAAAGAAATTTATACAGTGATGGTGGAGAGAGGCTGGAGTAAGTTACCCAGAGAAGTTGGATGCCTGACTCCTGGAAGAGTTCAAGGTCCAGCTGTAGGGACTTTGAGCCCCACAGAAAAAGGTACTAGACCAGTGGTCTATTGAGGGATGTCCCTGCCTATGGCAAGGGATATGGAACTAGAAGATCATTGTAAAGTTCTTTTCCATCACGTAAGATTCTGTGATGCTGTGATAACCTCTATAGGCAGGAACAAGCTGAGCCAACCTGCACCTGCAGACTCAGTTAAACAGAATCAAAAAGGAGAGTTTTGGCCTTGACTATGTTTTGAAAAAGATAGTGCTCTGTTCTCAAAGTGGAAGACCATTTAATGGTCTGTATGATAGCATGTATGGTTTAGACTGTGATTGAAAACAATGACATAATGATAGTGTGTGAATGTGTGAAATCAAAACATCAGGTCACCGAAGTCTTGGGAATTCTAGTTAACTGAGTGGCAACACCAGGTGCTGTTTACCCAAAGAGGTTAATAGAACAGGAATGCAGAGACAGATTTGTGGAGAATCCTGAAAATGGAATCGTGTGTGTGCAGTCCCATTCCTTCATCACCGATATCTATACTACAGAGCACCCACCCTGGCAACTCTTAAACATTGATTTATTCACTGTTACCATTACAAGAATCAGAGAGACTGAGGCGTGAGTTCACAAATAAGACAATCCCAAACCAGATTTTTTTTAGGAGTCCCATGATCCCAGTGATAGGCCAGGCTTTTAGCGAATGAATGTAGAAGTTTTTCAAGTCTGCTGGTACTGCAGCCAGTGGGTACAGTTTATTGCTCCTTGACTTTTAGCAGACCGAGGGAAAACTAATAGTCTGAACAATTTAGAGATGCAGTTTGTTCACTCTTCAAGGCTGCAGGAGCTCATTGAGAGACAGACAGTCTCTGCAAAGCGTGGGCACTTGACAGGAAAAAAAACACTGTGATGACTGCCTGAATAAGTGGAAGGGACTTATGGAGGTCTTTCATCATTACTGTGCAATTAATAGCTAGACATAATCTAGACATTAATGAGGGTGCAACTGGAACTACAAAGAAGTAACATAATTAGTCCCTGAATTTAATAATTCACAAAATTACATGGAAATGCTGTACTGTCTTATTTTAAATAAGCCTAATTAGTTGTTTTTTCCTAACTCTACTTTTTTTATAGGTTCTAAGTTTTGCCATGTGGAAATACAGCTTAGAAAATTCCATTCCTGCCTCTCATATGCCCATAGAATCATTAGAATCACAGAATATCCTGATTTGGAAGGGACTTACTTGGATCATCAAAGTCCAACTCCTGGCCCTGCACAGGACCATCCCCAAGAGTCGCACCATGTCCCTGAGAGTGCTTCCAAACTCTCCTTGACCTTTGTCAGGCTTGGTGCTGGAATCACTTCCCTGGAGAGCCTGTTCTATACGATGAAATTGCTGAAGATGAATGGTACCTTTTAAAAACATGGCACCTCAGATTGTGTATCAAAATTTCATCTGTTAACATTTTGCTTATACCAATTAGTTAGTTGGTTTATAAATGTCTACTTATAGTTGTGTGATTAAAATGTTTGTCTGAAAACATTTAAGTAACTTTTATCCTCACAGAATGATGTTATTTTACCTCTATATATCACAGTTTACCACGCTATCAAAATAAAATAATGAGGCTCTTTCTATTCAGAGTAAGCATGCAAAGACTAATGACTGCAAAATCTGAAATGGGCAAACAAAAGTCAACAATCCATTCTCCTTCTCATGTATTATATTTCTCATTTTCTTGTGCAGCAGTAATCATTTTTATGTGTGCAAATAAATTGTATTTAGTGTAATTCACTTGTTTAGGTGTCTCAAAATTCCACTTTAGGAAATGATTGTCATAATAATTGAATGTTCTTGTCGCTAGAAGCATCAGCTTATGACAGAGATCCCTATTAAAGAAACCAGTACAATTGTGGTATATGAGGTGGGCAATATCTCTTTAAGCCAGGCTCTTCCAGAGAGGCAGACTGATGGGATTGTAACAACCTCAATGCAGCAAACCTTTAGACTTGAGAAAATGAATGGATGGCAACCAACCTTACTTTATAACTAACAAAACTAAATATAGCTGAAGGAAAAATTAGTCAGAAAATGTAAAAATCACTCAATATATGAAAATCTTTACAAGAGAAAGTAATTTAACAAGAAGATATCCCTTTATCTTAAATAAAACCCTTTCTGCTCAAACATGCTCTTACTTTGTTAATACTGTTACACATGCAGATACTCATCCAAAAAAAATTAGTTTTTGATAGAGTCTCTAATATTGTTACAAAGATTTAATGGGTTTTCAGGTATAAAAACCGAGGTAATGAAGCAAAGTTGAAGCCTTCTAACCTGGAAATATTTTTTTCTTGAAAAATGATATTTTTTTCCTGTCTGTTAAAATAGTTGTTAAATAGTTAAAATGAATTTTGAAAATGAATAATTCTGTAACATCTGACAGTTGTATTAATAGCAGAATATCATATATCATTAAAATAAGACTTATTATGTCAAGAGATTGAAAACAGAAATAATACCAGATTGTAATTTTTAAGCTTGTACCAGAGCATTCCTGTATGAAATAGAATGGCTTATTTTTACCATGCTAAAAATGTAGAGAAATAAAACTGAAGTATTGAAAATAAAGCTGAGTAAGAACTTTTCAAACTGATTGTTTTCTTGGAGTAGCGTTATTTTCTAATTTTTGTTTTGAAAAACTTCTGTGTGGTTTTTAGTTTAATTTATCTTAATTTAAAAATAACTTAAGCATTATGCTAAAAAAGTAATTAAAATGGAGATTTTAACAAAAGTATTCAGAAACCAACAGAAAAATTTTAAAACTTGTCTGAATTAACTATTTTGATTTACCTTATCTAAATGTTTATCATTATGATGGGAGGGGGATATTAATTTAAACAGAAAAGAAGCGCTCTTTCCAAATTTCATAACAAGTTCCAGCCTCTATTCTAAGGTGGCTATTTGAAATTATATGGAATTTTATTGTTACTGCTGCAAGGCTATTAAAATATGAACCAGTCAATTACACTTTTTGAACTTT